GAACTTGGGATATTTAAGTACCTTTGATGATGATATGAGAATTACTTGGCTGAAAATTTGAAGAATCTGCTTTCCTGGGAAGGTAATCAGATGATGAGGCCATGCTAGCTTAGCTAGAACGATCTTTTCTTGCTCTTCATGTAAGAATATTTTGAATTGCATTTGATTTTATCGTACTACAATACATATATATATATAATGTGTCTTAACCGTTATATTCACTAATTTATTCTTCTAACAACCAATATTGAGTATTAGTTATTAAGTTGAACTGCCTCTGGATACAGTTATCAATAGATTGGGTACTTTAATGCAGTAGATAGGGAATATGATATATATGTCTGTACATTGGCGGTAACGTTCCAAAATTACTTTGAATTTCCAAAGACAAGTAATTGGATTAAATGAAATTACAACTTTTAAGTACGCATAGATATATATTATACAATTTTATAATGCGTTGAGCTTAACTGGGATGTTCGCACGTTTTGGAATTCTATGCGACAAATTTTCATACTTTGTCATTTTGTTTGGATTGATTTTAGTTTATTACGATCCAAAAATAATTAACTTGAAATATCTAGCTATATATTAGATTATTATGAACCTTTTTAAATTTATGTTCGGTGGACAATTAAGCTAGTTTACAGCTTATTTACTCAGCTTATAAGCTTCCTATAATTAAATAAACTTTGTTTTGTATGACTAGTATTTTAAATAGCTTCTATGAGTAGTTAAAAATAAATTCATCGAAAGTTTTATTTCAACTAGCTTATTAACTAATTAATGATTAATGAAATACATGAATGTGAAAAAAAAAAAAAAAAAAAAAAAAAAAAAAAAAAACAATTCAAAAGAATAAATTGTCTTAAGTCGTGGGTTGATGCATTAGTTGTATTCTTTAATCTATTTCCTTGAATACAAAACTAACTAGTCGAAAATAAATTCTTATATGTGAATAAGGAATTGAAAATCGTTAGATTTTGAAATTAATGAAGGTAATAATGCTATTGACATGAATATGATGTCATATTAATGATCAATGAGCCTCACATTACTTTGTTATTGGTGAAACGGTATTCAAGAATGTAATGGTCAGTCTTTGAAAATTTTAATTTTTCAACTACAGATATATGCATATTCATGTATTACAGCATCAGGAGTTTAATTCTCTCACTTTAATTTGTTCACTTACCTGATAAAAATAAATAAATTGTTGAATCTTAATCTAGTAAATAATGAATAGGACTGTAAACGAGCGGAGCTCGAGCTTGTGGTGCTTAAGCTCGAACTCGGGCCCTTAACGAGCCGAACCGAGCTCGGCTCGTTAGATAAACGAGCCTGATGAGAGCTCGAGTTTGGGGTGCTTGAGATCGGCTCGTTAGATAAACGAGCCTGAAAAGAGCTCGAGCTCGACTCGTTTAACACTCATAACGAGCAGATCTCAAGTTTTAAGGAGCCGAATTATATAAAATTATACAAAAATTATCTTTTCGAGCTCTAACGAGCCGAGTCGAGCCACACTCATTTAATTTAACAACACTAATAATGAATAATCAACATATAACATAAAATGTAATTAAGAAAAATGTAGGTCAATTGGTTTGATTGTGTATATTATAGGTAAAATTGCATTTTTAGTATTGTTCGTTTAACGCTATAACATTTTAGTCCCAAAATTCTAAATTTTCGTCTTTTGATCCTATAATTTAGTATTTTGTTGCAATTTTTTTTTTTTTGATTAAAAAATTTATTGCAATTTCAGTCCTCAAATAACTGAAATTACGTTGAATTTTTAAATCACATCACCAAATATCAAAATGTTTAAATCTTCGGACCAAAAACCCCCCCCACTGAATCAAACCCATTTAACAAAAATTGCAATTTAATTACCCTATATTATAACGGATTTTGTAGTAATAAATGCAGTGTACAAAGGACAAAATAATCTTGAGGGCAATGATTTTCGATACCTTATTTTACATATGTAGTCTTCAATGTGGATAATTGATTGAATAAATGCAATAGGCGCCAAATCCAGGTCCGGACAGTTTTTATCTCACTGCAAAACAAACAAACTCTATGATTTTAAGCTAACTGTCACGGTGCAATAAATATATATATATATATATATATAATTTCTAATAAATATATATACTTATAATACATAATATTATATTTTTTTTATATATATATTTAAAATATGTCGTGTAAATCTTATACCCTATCTATTATTAACATAGCTGATATATATTTGAGGAAACACATCGTCTGTTTCATCTAACTTAACCGAATCATTGTATATTCTCAAGTGAAACCAAAAACAGGTCCCTAACATTGGGAAAACATGGAATTTTATGCAAAAATTAAGATATAATTTAAAAAGTCTTAATAGCCCGTAATCTCGATTAATTACTCAATGGATTAAAAAAATTGGCACATTTCAAATAGTCACGGTATACTATAAATTGATACTTGGTAGAATTCTGCATTTATATATAAAAGTAATATATGTTGAAAAGTTACATATATTGGAAAGTCTACGTTATGTATAAGAAGGGATATTTGTTGAGAAACATGACAACCTATAATTAATATAAATATTCTAAAATCTTGAGCTTTTTTTTTTTTTTTTTACATAATTACAATTAGACATCACCTAACAATAGCCAATTACCCAATAGCCTTGAGTTACAAGCCACAAATCTCACATCTAGACGTGGCCAATTGTCGGGCACGGCTCGTGACCGTCCTGCCCATTTATATGGGCCAGTTTATAAAACCGACATTGAACTGCCGGTTCACCGACCTGGCTGGTTTCGGGTGGTTCTGGCTGGTACGACCTATAAAAAAAACATTGCGACCCATCTTTCAACCCGCGGCCCGGCTCGGACCGGTGGGACAAAAAAAAAAAATAACACTATGAACTGGGACCGAACCGCAACCCTACGGGTCCGGTTCAACGAATCGGCCCTTAGGTGGCGGGTTCAGGGCCGTTCCAGAACAGCTTTCAGGCCGAGTCGACACTTGACCATGTCTACTTATAGTATCCTACATCGGTTGTGAAGGAGAACGAAGCATGTCTTATAAGTGGCTGTGGATACCTTCACTTGTAGCACGCGGTTTGGTGAGCTAGCTCTCAAAGGCAAAACCGTGCGGGTGAGCGTGCCCAAAGCGGACATATCCTACCACGATTTGGCTGAGCTGTTACAGATGGTATCAGAGCCAGTACCCGGACCATGTGCCAGCAAGGACGCTGGGCCCTCTAAAGGGGGTGAATTGTAGTATCCCACATCGATTGTGAAGGAGAATGTAGCATGTCTTATAAGTGGTTGTGAATATTTTCACTAGTAGGACGCGTTTTGGTGAATTAGCTCCCAAAGGCAAAACCGTGAAGGTGAGAGTGCCCAAAGCGGACAATATTCTACTACGAGTTAGCTGGGCTGTTACACTATTCACATCCTTTGTAACCACCATTAGATTGGATAAGCTAGCCTCGTACTTAATCAAAATAAAACTTACGCATGCACTAGTTTGAAAACTAATGATCCGACTATTATGAGATCCCAAAACATTTCAAATCCTATAAATAGTCCACCAGAGGTCACTATCCCTCATAATTTGTAAGTCAATTATGTATTTATTACTGCATTTATTCGGAATGACAAAAAAAAAAGAAAAAAAAAAAAAGAAAAAAAATGGGTGGCTTTAATTAGTACGTCAGACAATGGATTTTTAACATCAATCTTGTGCCTTTCGGCTTACTGCAGATAATTAAGAAATCTTT